GTGTGAATATGTAAGGTAAGCATATCTACTCTGCAAGTGCTAGTGATCCAAGTTAAAAATGAAGATACAAAGTTTTGCTTTTTCAATTCCATTTCTCTTGGTTTCTCAGCAAATAGGGAGGAGGATTAAGAAAGAAGCTTCCAGTTTTCTAATCTTCAATAACTATTTGTAAAGCACCACCTCCTCTGTTTAGTCCTGGGGTGACTTAAAACATTTCAGAAGGACAAAAAGATTTATGGAGAACCACTTTAAGTAAGAAAACCAAGATTCTCATTGGGCTTTAATCAAGTAAAGTCATGAGTTTTCTGCAGACTGAAGAACTGAACATTGTGCCTCAACCCAATGTAGTAGGGAGTTGCTTCCTCAGAACTATGAGATCAAAATGTGCCTGGTAACTAAGCCCAGTCCACCATAAGAGCAACATGGGAAGTCACAGTTTCAATGGAAACAATGTATAGCAGACCACACAGAATAACACATGGGCACAACTCTTAGGGCCTTGTTATATGTTAATTTTGTGTGGCTCCTGGAGCTCTTAACTTCTGGATTGTCTGCATGTTACCACCTTTAAGGTACTTAATGCACTAGTTATGTGTCTCAACATTATGCTACTCCAGGACAGGATTATCTTTAATCCACATAACCGAGCTTCTGTTTTATTAAGGTGTGGCCACTCCCCACAAACTGAAGGTGTGACTTGCAAACTAGCACTAAGCCAATTAACATTTGCGCGGCTCACAGTGTAACGTGTAACAAGGCCCTTGCATTCCTCTATTCCACCCCTGCCTAATCCTGCTCTGAGCGAACCACTGGTCTGCCTCCAGTATATTCCTTTTGCAGCACTGTTTGGGTAATAAAGAGCCAGCATCTGCACTTCCTGTAGCACAGGGACTGCCATTCTGCTGCCCTTGACCATAGCCATTACAGGCTAATAGAAGGTAGGAAAGGAAGAAAGTTCCAGTGCAAGTCAGGCAAAATCGGAATATCCATTCTTACCCAGCTTTTACTTAACCTCCTAGTAAATTTACTGGGTATCTGAGGAAAAAATGAAGTAAGGACATCCCATTTTGGCCCACAGGTACATTTCATAATAACAGTATATCCAACCTTGACTTAAATGCTATTTTATCAAATTAGATTATGAGGACATTGCCTGCTCTTTATCAGATGTTTTCATTTTATGTCTACAGCTCAAGGAGACTGGATAAAAAGGGATACACTGGATTCTCCAATATTATATTTATACGCTACCCACAGTGGCTGTAACATGCAAAACCAGATATATAACCACTTTATAAACAATGCAGAGAAGAGGGGGTCTATTTGTAATGCCAGGACTAGTTTAGCTGGAAAGAAAAACCCAGTTTTACACTCTTACTAACTGCTGGCATTTTCAAAAAAAATAAAAAACTTTAAAGGAAAACATAGTAAGCTTGATTTAACAATGTGCTTCTAGCACATTTTTTACCACTTACCAACACAACTGCATGATGGGAAATCATATTGGGTTTTGGCAGGTGTGTCCAATAAATTTTTTACAGGAGTATCCAATAACTTGGAAGGTGAGTCTAAAAAATTGTTGAGAACAGTACCAGCTGTTCTTTTGGTTGGGGTTCTTTCGGCAGAAGGATTTGCTTGATGATCAAAGGTTGGAGTCTGACTGTCAAATTCCGCAGCGCTAGTATTTCTTGATAGGATAGTGATAGGGCCTGCTGTTTCAACCTTCACATGCTTAGGTGATTTGATAGTAAGAGCTTTGTGATCGAACAGTGATTTGACCTGAAACTGTTTTACCTGCTGTTCCATTGTCTCAATGATACTCTTTTGTTGCATATTCTCACAACCAAAGTGCTGATTCTCTTGTTTAATTGTTTTCTTCCATGTTTTGTTTTCCAGCTGTCCAGTTAATGCACGCATGCCCATGTTAGACTTTGAGCCAGCCTCAACTTTTATGGGCTTGCGTACCACACTGGGACCTAATTCAGTTTTGGGCAGCTGTTGTCCTTGCTGTTCCTGCTTTTGTAAGAGAAGCCACCGAAGAGCAGCATGCTTTTGAAAATCTTTATGGGGTTGAGGCTGAAGGTGACAACCTCTCTGCTCTTGTGAGTGTGAGGGAGTTTGCTGACTATGTGGTAAGTACCTTTGCTGAATCTGTGTGGCTTGCTGGCTAGACATACCTTGATTCAGGCCAGCACCATATCCTGGTATGTGTTGGAGTGGTAGTTGTCTAACTGAAGCCTGCTGAGTCTGTTGCTCTTGTTCTTGAATGCAATGATTCACATCTTGTTTTGGGGTCAGACTATTTGGAAAATACTGCATATGTTGCAAGTCCTGCATTTTGCTTATACTGAAGTGTTCAACATTTATGGCGTCTTCCTTTTTTGAGGTCAAGTGTACATTGTTTGGGCAAGGATGCTGCGGATTAACATTTGTTTTTAAAATCTGATCACAAAGGGAAGATTTACTGTTCACATTTTGTACCTGCTCTAATCCCAGCTGGGAGTTAGTATGTGGGAACTCAGTTGATTTGATATATTTATTCTCAGCATGAAAACATTCTTCCAGTTTAATCTGGCTAAAGGATGTTCCAACAATTTGCTGTTCGTTGTTGCTTTGGGAATGGGAAATAGTTTGAGACAGTTCTTTATTCTTCATTTGCAAGGCTTGCTGCTGCTGCTGGTTTGGAGTTAGCTGTGGACTCCGTGACAGTCGTGTGTGCTGCGTCTGTTTTTGCAGCATCTGCTTTAAAATATGTGAATGTAAGAACTGCTCATTCTCCAATGTCTGGGGATTCAAGTGCTGCTGTTTTAAGTGAGACCCCAAAGGCTGCTCAGTTTCTTCTGGTCTTGGCTGAAAATGAAGCTGTTGTGACTGGTGGTGCTGCATGTGGGATTTTGGCAGAGGATCCATCTTTGTGAGCTGTGGTTGGGGTGAGCACTTTTGGAACTGAAGTCGCTGGTCAGCCATAGGGAGAAGTTGCAGTTGTGCTGTCTCGCTTTTGTATGGAAGAGGCATTTGTTCAGGTTGGATTATTTTCTGGCTGTGGGACTGTCCTGAAGGCACTTTTAATGCATCAGGACTCCCAGTACACTGCTTTGAGTGTGCTGATTCAGGTGGATTTGACCGTAACTGAAGAACTGACCTCAACAGTGCCTCACTGGGCTTCTGTAGAGACTCTCCATGGTGAAAATGGGTGGAAATCAATTCTATCCAACCTGGTTTGGGATAATGTTTTGTCTGCTGCACAGGATCTTTCACCTGGCCCTTTTCTTTCTGAGAAGAGGGCTCAGGTTCTCTTTCTCCCAGGAAATGCTGATAGTGTTGCTGCAACTCTCCATCACTTCCACGCACTTGCAAATCTTGGACACAAGATTCAGATGTTGGCTTCATGTCTTCTGGGCACTGTTGGAATGATGCCATCATAGCAGTTGCCAGATCGCTTTCACTACCATCTTGCTGTGTCACCTGAGGCTTCTGAGGAAGCCTCTGTTGAGGGTTAGGTTGTTGCTGGGCAAGGCCAGGACTTTCTGACATCAGTCCTTCCTGCTGCCCTTTGCACTTCTCTTCCCTAGGAAGAGCTTCAGCCTTTCTATTGTCATAGGGATTATACCCTTCTGTAACCCCAATGGGTAGTGCTCTCTTCATTTCTGGATCAGGAGGAGGAGGAACAGGAAGCGGAAAAGGAGGAATAGGAGCAGGAGGAGTGAAAGAATCATTATTAAACATTGAGTTTTGTTTAAACAAAGCACCATTTTTTTCTGCTTGCTCTGGGAACCCCTCCAGGGTGTTGTCCTGAGCTTGCAGTTTACTGCTGGAACTTGGAGAGAGATCCTGGCTGGGTACCTGCCCCATATTTCCATGAACAGTCCTGTTCCGTACAGGAACCTGGGGTGTATCACAGACTGGATTTTGTTGCTGTAGCTGTAGTTCTGGTTTCTGAAGTGAATAGCTACCTGGCAATACATGTGGTTTACTGGAGTCTTCTGTATTGTAGACCTCAGCAACCACTACAGCTGGCACTTGAGGCAGCTCTGAATTTGAGGTCTGTGGGGAGGTGATCTGCCCTGAGGTATGGGATGAATGTGTTGTCTCATAGGACAACTCATTAGTAGCCTGACTGGTAATGGCATTTATTTGAGATGTATTTTTCTGCATTGCAATGGAAACATGATCTGGATAATATTGTGACAGTGTTTTCTCCAGGAGTTCATCATGCATGCTTTCCATGGAAGAGGCAGAAACTGTAGCACCATTAGGTATTGGCACTGCCTTGTTCTTAAGTAGTAAGACAATGTCCCTGTTGTGGCAATTAACGTTTTCCCTCTCCTTTTCATTCTGCTGAAGATCATGAGGATTTTCTGAACCAGCATAGCTGTATCTTGAAGACTGTATAAAATCTGAAGCTGCATTTTCTTTTTCTGTAAAACTCAAAGATTCCTTCTCACTGCAGGATTCAGAGACACTTGGTTTTTCATTGTTTTCTCCTGGCTCATCTTTTTCTCCATTTACCTCTTCATCCTGTTTAATTTTCTTGCTCTGATGAAGTCCATAAAGAGAAGGCTCGCTAAAAGTGCGTTTTATCCCACCATTTTGCATATACTTGGAATATATTCTCTTTTCCTGTAGAAGGTCAGGGCTGACTCGATTATTTGGATTTCCCTTCACATGTGGTATTCCACAGCTGCTCTTAAAAAGTAGCCACTTATGGTCCCCATTTACTTCAAGATGTGGCTTTTCTGCTAATGGACTTCCATTCTGGAACTTCACTGACAAAGGCTCCACTTGGCAAACTTGAGAAGGATGTGGTATTAGATATGGACTCAATCTATTGCCATCAACATTGCTGGTTCTATCCTGTTCCATCTGGCCTGCTCCGGGGCCATCCACAAGGCTGCCCTCTGTGCGTATCTGAAAGAGGAAAAAGGATGGAAAAGAATGTAAGTTTACTTTTGTTTACTATTGTTAAATCACTGACAGTACACACAGTATTCCACCATCTGCCATCCTAACCTGTTTACATACAGCATGCGAGGTTCACAGGGGTCTCTGGCTGTTTAAAGAAAGCCAGGGATTTCTGAGTGTTCATTAGTGTTGGGCTGTACAGAACCAAAACATCTCTTTTCATGGATTGCTATGGCATATTTCAGAGAAACATGGGGTGAAAAGAGCATGTGAAAATAAACAGTATTTTCTCATTCCCAGTTTAGCAATCAAACAGAATGATGCTTATCTTAACAATAAATCTTTCGTAACATTAACAACTCTTTTTATTTATTAAAAGAGTACTTGCTACTTGTGAGTGGTATGTCTAAATGCTTCTGTCATGATTGTTCTTCCAGGTAAGGTAGAAAATCATGCAGAAACTTTAGTTCCCAGATTTAGAGCTAATCCTGTTGTTTCATTATACTGTGCCAAGCCTCTCTTGTCTGACTTGAAGGATTATTGCCACCAAGCTTGCCAATTAGAGAAGAAAACCCCCTTCTTTTCTAAGTCTTCAGCTGTCCAACAAAAGTAATTCAAAGTTAGCGTTTCAAAGATTTTACTTTCAGCACAAGACACATATGTAAAACAAAACAGTAACTCACTATAAACCACTGAAATTGCCACTCTTTCATGTACTGAATTTGCCATAATATATTTATTTAAGGTAAAAAAATTAAGACCATGCTATATATTTGTATGGCGCCAATTGTTTTGAAACACTATTTTTTAAATATGCAGTCAATGTATTTGCCTTAGAATGATATTTTTAACTGGGCAGAAAAGCCCCAAATTTCTGTACCCTTTATTTTCAATTCTAGCTGGATGCTTTGGAAATTCTTGTCACTTGTATAATCTTTATTTATAAAAAGGTTTCTTATTGCATAAACACATTGCACAGGTATGGTAAGCTAACTCCATTCAATAACTATCTGATCCTTTTCACAGAGATCTGTAGAAGATCTAGCCCCAGTATCTTTTCCATAACTTTCTCTTCCTTGGTTTTATGATTATTAACAAACAGTGAAAGTGACAGAAGAGAGACTGACTGAGAGAGTATCTCACAGGGAAATGGAGGTAAATAACTCAAATGATAATGAACCACATAAGTATGATGTAAAAAGGCGCAGTTTCAATTCATGCAGACTTTTGCAATCTTTTCTTTTAATTTGCACAGAAAGGGGAGCATGAAGGGCTCTCCTTGTCAGTTCAGACCTGCTTGGACTACTAAGTTTCAGTATCACAAGTGGTTAAATTACCACTCTACAGAGGGGACTATTATACATGAATATTTCTCATATCGCACTAGATTTGCCTCCAATAGCACAGAACAGGGTTATTTATCCTTCCCTATTTTTTATATGATACCAAGGAATACCTAATTTATTCTATGTGCACTCCATTCCAGGATATTACTGTCTTACTAAGCTCAAGTAAGTAATGGAATTCAGAAACACACTTTAAATAAGTCCCAGGGTCATGTAAAATTACTGTAGGCAGAAGTGCTAGTGCTATGTAAGATTACTTGGAATCCCTTTCTGTTCAGAACTCTGATTTAGAAGTCAGGATGCTACAGAATTACTCTTCTTTCTAAAAGGAGTCAAGAAACAGAATTTGACCCTAACCAGAAATTCCTCCCTTTCCGTTCTGTTACCTCATACTTTTGATACTTTGGCTTCCCACTGCTCACAGAGAGAAAAGGTGAATGTGTGACCTTCTAAATCAGTTTCCCAACCTCACATAAAATGAAATGAAACACAGAAATTAACATTGTGTTGTCAAACTACTTTTTAAAATTTTTATGTAAACAATGCATCTGTCTGATGGAGCCCACTCCATGGCCATGAAAGCATATCAGCAATAGTTGGCTGAACTGTGGTTCATCACACAAAGTGTTTTCCAACAATCTAAGAATTTTCTAACAACTCTTGCTCATCTTGATGTTTCAAGAGCCTTACTATTTGCAGAGCATGTCCTTTCTCTAAACTGTGCATGCAAACCTCTTCACAAAGCATGACTATGCACTGGGAGTGAATCTCATAATCGTGTGGCACGAAAACCATTCAATTCCTTCGTTAGTAAAGACAAAGAATACATGCCTTCTTCACAGGCTTCCCAAAAGCTTTACAGTACAAGTCAACCAATCCTTTGGATTCTGATTAGCTTCAGCATAAAAGGAGATAGTGGAAGACATTCCAAAGCTGGACTTAATCATCCAGTACTTTGTAGTCTAGTGTTAGCTTACTGATTTAAAAAGTCCCACACTTCCTTTCTTTAAGATACATGTATGATTGGGAGTTACTCTGCATAAGTCTTGATTCTCTGCGTCTAAACTCAGTTGTTCACAATCTCCCTAAGTCTCATCTTATTACAAATCAAAAAAGATGCTTAACCACACTAGAAATCATTATAATTATTTGTAATATGAAGTCAGTAATAACCTTTATGATACTAGCTTAAATGTATCTCATGTGCACAGTTTAGGTGCTTCTGCAAAACAGAATTGGTTGGCACCACAAAGTCTGTGCACTCTGTTGTCTTTTTGCTACTGTTGTGGGGTGAAGCTTACTTCTTTAAAAGAAATCTGCCCCTTTTCTTAAACATAACCGTTTGTTTTTTCTATCTTCTGGTAATAATCGTATTTTAGCCAAAGCACTTAGTAGCTCCACATACTTTTCCCCAGCTATAATTTATTAGAAATTCAAGTCGCATCAGCAGCATCTGTGAAACAATTACTGCATCTAGGACTCACTCTGCAGTCTAATCCATCATAATTATGACTGGCCTCTTTGAAGATGCCATGATGCGTGACTTAAAAATAGCACATTACTGTGCAAATGGATCAGCATCTCATTCTACCAATATGCATTTAAGTTGTAATTCAGCCTACTGTCATTTGAGTTTTTGAAACACCAAGGAATGTATATGTATTTCTTGCCACATATGAGGCACAATTTGGAGAAAAGGAGTTGAAGTATGGTTTTGGATTTTTAAAGAAGCATGAGTGCCTTTTTAGAACGCTCTTGCAATCTTTATAAATATAGAAAACATATAAACGCTTTTTTGGAACAAGTAATCTGAATTTTGTTCTTTTCTTCTCTTCCTCAGTAGTTAAGTAAAAGCCCTTAGTCATATTTTATCTGGCCCCATACATGTATCTAGTGCAGTGCAGTGAGAAGAAAAAATAATGTAGCTTCACTCTGCCCTGTGTATTTCTGCAACAGTTAGCCAGGATCCCATTTAAAAAGTGAGAAGTGTTCTCTGTTAGGGTGCTCATAGGCACTCTGAGTGAACTGAAGAATAATTATAATAGTCTGTACTCTGTCAACCAGTACAGCTGAGTAGAAACAGAATGGGACAAACCATACCCTCTCTAAAGTTACTTGCTAATAGTACAACTGTTGATGGTTTATTTCTTCAGCTTATTTCTTCAACCTCCTTGGGCTGTGATCTCAATGCAGTTGTTCTGGTTAGAAGCAAAATGGGTGACGTTAGAAGAAAATTCAAGGTACTACAGAAGATGACTTCATTGTTTTAACAGATATTGTGGTCAATTCTTTATTACTGAACTGCTGCCCCAACCTTAGATTTAGGGGATGCTGGGATGCTACAAATAATCACTTTTGTATGATGAAACAGGTTGTCACTTGCAGTCATTAAATTCCCATGACACTTTCTCCAAGGAGAGTGTTCATCTAGATCAGTGGTCTCCAACCTTTTTGAGTAGGAGATCACCTATGGCATTTAAAAGCAACCCAAGATCTACCATGCACCATCACCATCTCCCCCCCATCCAGCAGATAAGTCTGTGGTGAGGGAAGGGTGGGGCCAGATGAAGGCAAAGGGAAAAAAAATTATTTGGGGATGTGCCTCCCCTTCAGATAAATCCCACCTAGCTGGGGGCCCCACACAACTTACCCCTGCTCCTGCCTTTGTGGCACTGTCCCTCACTGCAGGGGCTTCGATCTAGCCCCCAACTCTTCCCTCCCACATGGCCTGACCTGCTGGGCTGGGGTGCGCACATGTATGCATGTGGGCACTCAGCCCCCTACCCCAGCCTCAGAATGACTCTAAGAAGCTCCGAGATTTACCGGTGAATCGAGATCCACTGTTCGGTGACCACTGATCTAGATACCCTTGCTAAATTCTAGCATGGGTAATCGCATTCTGCTAGTATCAGTTAAATACAACTGTGGGTTTCATTTCCTGACTTGACTTCTTTAGTGTTTAGATAGATGTAATTTTTGCTTAAGAGAACAACCGTTGTGAATTTGCTCAAGTATATTGATCCCTCCATTTCCTTAAGAAGTACAACACAGGCCCATAAAAAATGCACTTTGTGCAACAGGCTGAGAGAGGGAACAACAGAGGGATTCTTAGTGAACTGTTTGGGGCCCCATTTTGTGATGTTTGCCAGACATTTAAGGTTGGTAAAGAAATAAGAATCTTTGGAATTGGGAAAGAAAGGCACAGCTCAGCTCTGGGAGCGAAGAAGTTGTCGAAATATATGCAATATAGTGGCTCACCATCACTCAAAAAGAGTTGGCACTAAGGGGGACTCTGCTCAATGGGCACTACTACATATCTTTTTCAGATGGGCTACACTAATTCATTCTTGTGGTATACTCCCATCCTTATCTCAGCCTTTTTTCTTGGCACCAAGAGGAAGGGATCAGGGCTGGCTCCGGCTCTCCTGATGCTGGCCTGGTACTACAGTCTCATACCAGGCCTAGTGTAAGTTCCCTGTGGAAAGAACACCCACCCATTTTTTTAAGGGCCAAAAAAAGTTCCTATCAGTATGGATGACCCACATGGGCCATGTGTCTTTTAGTCATGCTCAATGTTAGCTGCATTTAAACAACTTCATACTTGGTTTCCTTTACTGAGCTCATGCTGCATTTGGCACCAATTTAATGACAGACAATGTA